GAACATTTCAGGTGACCCCGTGCAGTCCTCATAGTGGCTCTGAGTGGTTTTACCAAGGCCACGTCACTCGTTTGACAGTCAAAAGTGGGAGATTCCAGTCCAGGTCATCAATTGCAGCCTTTCCCTGATGCCCTCCCTGCAGTGCCAACATAAACCCGAGGAGAGACCTGGGTGCCCACGCGGGAGAAGGCCTACAGTTTGCTCAGTTTTTCTATGTCTGTCAAATGGACCCTGATTGCACCAGGACCCTCAGATGTGGGCCAAGGGCACAGTGGGAACATAAACACGTGGTTTGTGCTCAGTAAGTTGGTAAACGAAGGAGGACAGACCCAAGATTGAAAGAGGAGCACCTGCTCAACCACGAGGTGCCGCCGGCTGCTGTGAGGGCTCAGGGGAGCGATTCTGGACTCCAGCCAGGCTATCAATTAAGCCCTAACCACCAAGGCCCAGGGAACTCCCTACCAATTAATTGAGAGCTGGGAGCAGACTCAGGGGCCTCCACACGGTTACTCCTCCCAGCAGATACACTCCTCAGGACGAGTCTACTCAAAGGTCATGGTGGGCGTTGTAGGAGGAAGAGTTGGGACATAAATACATGGTTGATTTAAAGTGAAAATCACAAGTTTCCTAAAGTTTCCAGGCTCTGTCCAGGAGACCAGAGATTCCACATTAGCTTGGCTATTCACATTTTCCTTTTCAATTATTCACTCAGTACCTATACCAAATATGGTATGAATCCAACAAATGTGAAAAAAAAAATCCAATCTTAAATAAGCTCCATCATAAGAACAATGATATACACTATCACTTCCACTTTATTGTCAATGATGAAAAAAACCATCTTAAACTAACCACAGTGACAGACACCCTTGGAGAGGCCTTCCTTAGCAGAACTTTCTGGAGGTAAAAGTGGTAAAGGGGTTTTATCAACAAAATGTAAAAGATGTGGCTACTGACTCACTAATTCTTCTTCCAAGAATTTATCCCCAAGAGATTATTAAACAAGTGCTCCAAGGTTCATGTACAAAAAATGTTAATTACAGCATCATTAGTAATATCAAATATTGAGAAAAAAGTTACTATCCACAGAAGGACATATTTAAGTAGACCATGGTAGATTGCCGAGTCCTGATAGCCTGCGAAAGGAGCCTATGAGCCACCTGGGAACTTCCTCCAACCTGGACAGTGGAGATGAGGCTTTCTGTCCACAAACCTAGCTATGCACATCCTACCCACGTGAGCCCTGAGCACGGAGACGCCAAGAATGAGCTGTACCAAGTTGTGGGTGCCTGGTGGCTCTTTCTTGGTGATGAGCTGCCTTCTTTTTTCCTTTCCTTTGTTTATCTACATTGTTTGGATTTTACAATGACCGTATTGCATCTATAAACAGAAAGCTGACTGTTTTTAAAGATCAAAAGAAAACATCTAAAGGCTACACAAATCTGCTGGAGAAGAGACAGGGCTGAAACAGAACCAGGGCGGCTTCCAGAAGGGGAATGTGGAGGAGGCTGATCCTGAGGCCAGCCTTGCACCAAACGATCAGCCCTTCCAGGGCCGGAGAAGGCAGGAAGGCCCAGGAGCCGGTCCTGGGGTTCAAATGTCAGTTCTGTCATTTGCCAGGAGAGCAACTTGGGACAAACTGCTCTCCTTCTGCACCTCAGTGTCCTTGTTTGTCAAATGGGGGACTGACAGTACCTCCTCTAGGAGTGTTACAAAGACCAGGGAGGAGAGGAAATGGAAAAGCACCTCTGCTGATGCCCAGCGCGTGCTCAGTGCTCACCAGACGCTAGTGCTATGACAACCAGCTTCAGACCACCGTAGCTCTTGAGAGTTGATGTTGTTCCTGAATACAACACTAAAGAGCAGGTGAAGAGTCAGTGAAAAATAACTTGGTCCCAATTCGGCAAAAGCAGACACACAAAGATCTAGGTTCTGCAGTGCGAGGGTGAAGGGCACAAGATGGAGGGTTTTAGGCACGTGACACTCTCCCAAACCTCAGTCTCTCACTCTGCAAAATGGGGATCATAGTTATTTTGAGGATCAAATGCCAATGCCAACACAACGCTTGGCAGCAGGACATTTTCCATGAATATTTGCTAGTACTAATTTGAAGAATAACCATTTGGCTATCGGATAAAGTAATGAGCTCCGTGTCCCTGGAGGTGTCCAAGAGGACACAAGGCAGACTTAGTCATGGAATGAGAAAGTAGAATCTGGATTCTTCTGGACCTAAAATTCCTTATGCAAAGTTGCTGAAACACACAACCCGGATTTAAAGTCGGGTTGCCCGGGACTGCTGTGCAGAATGACTGGGGAACCCGGGCCAGCAGGCTTGTCTCCCTAGAGTTAAGTGAAAACACAGTTCTCCAGGTCAGCCCTGCGTTGCAGACAGGTGAGTGTGCCCTGAGCTCGCTCCTTCTGTCTTAAGAGTGGCTCTACCTTCTGGAAAAGCTGCAGATGGGGCCATCCACAGTCGGGCTGCGGAGCCCGTGAAGCCTGTCGAGACCTGATGGTCCCCTCCCCAGACACACACTCACACATTCGCTGGCACTCGCCAGGAGAAACCTGGCTGCCAAATAGTAATGCCAGCAAGGATGAGACACGTTGATCGCTGTGTGGACCCAGCTTTACATGCACTGACCCAACGAGCCTGGGTCATGCAACGACTCCTCTGTCAGGGAAACCCAAACTCCAGTGGGCTGTTTGATCACTCATTTTCTCTCCAAGCCCTGTGGTCGACCAGGAAGGCTTGGGACTCATGCAGATCCTTCCAACCTACAGCAAGCCTTCTGGTTGGCTTTGCTCTGGCGAGGCCAGGGGACAGTCCTTATCTCTCAAGTCTGCAGGGTGCTTTAAAAACCATTCTCAAATCACTGCCCACCTGTCCATGTACCAGGAAGATCTGAAGGGAACAGAATCAAGCTTCCTGGTTAAGAACACAGACTTGGGAATGGGAAACACCTGGGTTCAAATCCCGGCTTCTCCACTCCTCGGTTACCTCATCAGTCCCAGGGAGATAATGACACCTTATAGGTTTTTATGTGAGGATTCAATGAGATAATGCAACACTGAAAAGGCACTTTGGGGAGCAGGGGTCAAGAGCACAGGCTCTGGAGTCAGACTGTGGAGGTTCAGATCCTGATTCTGTCACTAGCTGTGTATCTTTAGGCCTGTCACTTAACCTTTCTGAACTGCAAGTAATGAGCCCAGTTGTAAAATGGTTTCAGTGACAGTGTCCATCTATAGAGGGGAGTTAGGTGACAAACGAGTGGGTTAAAGCTTGGAAAGTGCTTAGGACAGCGCCTGTCACAATAGTGAGTGCTCAGTAAATGTGAGTTGTTATGATTAATGTGTGGAAAGCCCTCAGCATGGTAAAAATAAATGCTCAATAAATGGTGGCCGTTATTGTTACAAGGTACAAGTTCCTCAGAGAATTTCATGCATAGTTATCTCCTGGAAGGCAGTAAAAGTGAAGCTGTTAGGGGGTAAATCTTGTCCTTAGGAAGAGCCTGCAGTCACTGCAAAGAGACGCCAGGGTCCTCTCGCCCCTGTAGGACACCCCAGTTCCTCCATCCCTCCCACGCCCTGGCTCTCCTTGGCTTCCAGAGCTCATTCAGCCATCAGCTCCCCTGGTCTATGCCCAGTGAGCAGCCACAGGAGCAGGTGGGAGGCTGGGCATACCTACACCATGCACAGGGTGGCCCCAGCCCCGTCCTCCAAGGGTGCACAAGGTATGGGTCAACACGCACTGAATAAATAAGTCCCCAGATGATTATTTAATGACAGCTGCAATTTCTGCCATTAAAGGATGTGATGAGAATGTCAAATGGGAGCCCTGAGTGGACTAGCACTGGTGTGGATGAGGAGAGAGTCACTGTAAAAGCTCCTTCCGGAATGACATTTAAGGTGGGTCTTTGCTGATGAAGAGGAGCTGGCTGGTTGATAACTGGGAGTGCAGGAAGCGCAGGATCCAGGCAGATGAGTGCTTTGTCCCAAGGCCCTGCACCCACAAGGCACCTGGCTCTCTAGGAGCACAGAGAAGAACAGTGCAGAGGGACCTTTCCTACACCCTCTCACTCAAAACTACTCAGTCAGGGGTCAGTTGGGTGATGTCCTCTCCTCCCTTTCAGGTGCTCCCTAGCTGCTCGCAAAGACTGACCCAGTGAATGCTGTTCCTGGCCTAATGTCCCGAGGCGCAGACGTGGCTGACTCGGCCCACATGTGAACCTCAGCTGAGACATCACGACAGGGGACTCCATCTCCCTGAACGCCCTCTGTTGCCTCCATCCTACTGGGTTTTGTGAGGCTGTTTAGGAAAACAAGCTTGCCCCACTGAAGAATGTGGAAACAGCATGAAAGGAAATAATGACCCCAAAGGAGGACTCTGAGATTGACATCAGGGCAGACACCCCCTCAGGAGCATCATGTGTCACCAAAGCAGCAACTTCCCCGGTCACTTATTTATCCAGCTATTTACATGCTATGGCAAGAAGATGTGTCTGAGGTTTCCCTAGTTTGACACTGAAACTTGCTGCTCTGGAAAGGAACCCGTATGTTCTGGATGTAGCAGGTGTTTTGGGGGCTCTCTCTTTGGGAGTGTGCTGCGATCCCCCAAATGGTACTTTGGTGGTCTTTTTCTTCAAGACGGCCAGCTTCTCCCAGGATCAGAACAGCGCTCCTGACCTACCCTGGTGAGCAGCCCCCAGCTCTCTTGGTAGATCAGATGTCTAATAGTTAGCCTAATCACTGCTTCTCTGCGTAGCCATCATGACTGCCGTGGAATAACATCGGGACAGTGGGGGAAGCTTTCATAGAGCTCCTAAGTGGAACCACAGGCTGGGAATGGCCGACAGGGCTTCCTATCCTAAAAGGGGAGGGCCACTCCATCCTGGCTGGCAGTTCTCTTTGCCTGAGATGCCATCATTCGATGCTGCTCCAAAGACCTAAGGGAGATGTGTGCCGGAGAAGTGTCTGGTTCTGTTCCTTCCCACTGAGGCTCAATGGCCCAGCCAACTATGAAAGTGAGACCCGTGCTCCTGAAGCGTAACAGCCTAGAGTCGGTGGAGCTCGTGAAGCCACCTCACCACCGCAGGAGCAAATCCCAGCAGGTGCGGTTCAAGGACGATGGGACCACTAAGAACCCAACTGGCCTAGCTGAGGCCGACACCCAGGCTCCCGAAGACCCGGCTGGGATGGGGAAGACACCAGCACCCAAGCATCATCACCCCCCTACCTACTCGCTGTCCTTCCCCAGGTCCCAGAAGGCCGGGGGGTTTCGGAACATTGCCATCCAAACCTCCCCCAGTCTCAGGAAGCATTTCCCAGTTTTCAAAAGGAAGAAACTGACAGCCAGCAAGTCCCTGGTGGAAATGCCCACAGCACCCCCAAGTGCCATCCAGGTCAACGGCAACCTCTCGGAACAGGACATTGTGTCCTCTGACCTTGCCTACCTAAGGCTGGCTCAGCACCTGGAGGATGGACCTCGAAGGGTCAAAGTGTCCCACCCATTTCTGCCGAGGGTGTCCAAGGTGCAAAGCAACGGGCCTCTTAGCATATGCTTAGAAGCTGGGTCTTGGAGGGCCTCAGAGAAAGCTGCAGCTGCCATTCAGGTCCCAGATGATTTTTATCACGGTCCTTCCTGGGAAGCGAGAGCATCCACGCTCAGCCCAGGTGAGTCAACTGAGAGGAGCAACTCGATACCCCCTTTGATTGACGTGTGTCCAGGGGAGGGGAGAAGGGTGCTGATATCAGATTCAGAAAGATCTCCCTCTGGCTTGGCTGTCACCCCAGGCACAGAGAAACTCAAGCACGAATTGCTTTTGCCCAAAGACAACTGTGAGGACCGAGACCTTGGCCTGCTGTCATCTCAGTCAAAGGACACATTCGTCCCTTCATCTCCACAAACTCACAGCTCCCCTGCACCAGGGTCCCACAGCCAACCCACCCATCCAGAAAGAGACTCAGACTGTCCTGCATCGGATGCATCGGATGACAGTCACCAGGACCTGGGGGCATGCAAAACTAACAGTGCATCAAAGTCTGCCCCTGGGTGTAAGGAGCAGCTGGCAAAGAACCCCACCCAACCAGACACCCTGGAATTTCAGAACTGCCCAGGAAACAATCCCCTCCCCTCTTCTCTTCCAAAGAGTGAGAGCAAATCTCAGAGCAACAGGGAGATTAGTGACATCAATCAAATACACCTGGCACGGGGTGAACTCTGCGACCTCCAAGGTCGGCTGCAATCTGTGGAGGAATCGCTACACTCCAACCAAGAGAAAATTAAGGTCCTTTTGAATGTAATTCAAGACTTGGAGAAAGCTCGAGCTCTTACTGAAGGGTAAGGTGAATTTTTCTTATGTTAAAAACTACCGGGTTTGAACTCGTAATCCTCCTGTACCCCCCATCCCCCAAAAAAATCTTCTAGGTGAAGTCATTTGATGGGATGGGACAGAGAACGAGAGCACCGGCTCCCATTGGCAAAATGTCTCCAAGATGCTTGAGGTCAGTTGTGTCCCCCTATCATAGCTGATGGCCTCCCTTCACTCTGATGGGGCTTCATTCAGTTCCAGGGGTTGGTGGATCAGGGTGAATTTCCACTGTTATTTGCTTTTATGTCTGGGATGGGGGTGGGAGTAGAAAACAGCAAAGCCATGGATCAGACCTGATTTTTATAAAGATGCAGGTCCAGCTGATAGATGAAGGGGGACACTATAGCAGGTTGACACTTCCCCCACCCTCTTAGTGAGTTAATGCATTTGCATTTATGTTTGTCACAAAGGGCTTAAGGTGGCCACTGAGCTTATAGTTGACCATCCTCGCTCCACTGACCACTTTGAGGACTTGAGCTGGTCCATTATGGACCGACTCTGTAAGAGTTGAAATGAGATTACAATTCTGCAAAGAGAAAAAAGTCGCCAAATACATTCCAGGGTGACTCAGCACCAGTGTGGGGAGGGGAGGGCAGTGATCTGCCTGGGTGTGAGCTGCCCTTGTCCTTCTAGAAAGCATCATCTAAAGACCAAGAGGAAGCACTGCCAACACTCATCAAAAAGGGACTGAGAGAGAAGCAATTAGCTGGCATTTGCTGTTAGGAATCAGAATCCACGTTGCTTGAGAAGAGAGAACTCTGTGATGATACAGAGAGAAATGCACTGGACCAAAGGGTCGGGATTTTTACTAATCACTCTATCCAATCCCTCATGTTGCAGGATTGGTGGGAGCAGGAAAAAGCCTTCAGATTTGAAAGTGTTCAAAGATGCATAAAGCCCACTAGAAATGGAGGTCCCCTTGTTGCAATTTTTTATTTCCTTCTTTGCAACACAAACTTCAGGGCACCATGAATGTTGTGTGGTAGGGACCCAGGGATTAGCTGGTAGATGTGTGTGTCCTCTGTGGCCTCTGCCCATTGATTTATCCAGCAAATGCTCTGTCTTGCAGGCGCAACTTTTATCGAACCGGCCAAGACCTCAACAACTGCAGTACCTGCCAGAACACAGCGTGCATCATATACAGGTACCTGGTCACAACCAAGGCCTGCTCTGCAGAGCACAAAAGTCATGGGGTTCAAGGAACACTCTAGTAAACTCTCTAAATGCACAAAGTCGACAGAGGGGAAAAGACAAATGCATGAGACTTAAAACATAAGGTGTTTAACTAGGAGACATTAACTTCTGGTTTCAAGGCAGGTCACCTTGATGGGTAAGGACCTCAATGAGCAAGCCCTTTGGATGATATCATCCCTATGCTTATCAGACAGTAGTTCAGGTACCGAGGTAAGCTCTGCCTGCATATTGGCATCTCATTTCACTATCATACACTGTGAGGTGGGCCTTATGGTGGTCAGGGAAGTTAAGCCATTTGGGCCAGCTCATGTAGAACATAGTCTTGAGAGCAGAAGGGGTCAGACTCAGGACTGACATCCAGATCTTTCTAATTCCAAACCTGTGATATCAATTTTTCCACTACGGTGACCCCCGCCTCCCATCTCCACCCCTGGTTGCCAGCCCACACCCAGCACTCACCATGGGTCAAGAACTGTGCTAAGCACTTTGTGTTCCTTTCAAAATATACCATTTCCTCCCAGCATGGGATGAGGTCTACAATAAAGTGGTTTATATAGGAGATAGATGGGAACACGATAGAGTGGTAAGAACATTCAAGTCGAAAGATCTGTGCTTTGATCCCAAGTCAGATCAGCTACCATGACGTGGTTCAGTTTCTTTATCTGTAGCCTGGGAGCAGTGACCTCTACTGAGAGTCCCCACGGGGACCTAAGGAGGTAACAGATGCAAGTGCCTTCCATAACCGCAACTGAGCAGGGCTCATTACTGTTGTTACCAGGAAGACCAATGGCTCCTCAGCTGGAACCCCACTTTCAGTGGCACAGTGGAAAAGTGGTTAAAAGTGGTCATTTCAGTTGATGTCCTATAATTTTGTTGACCAAAATGTCTGGTTTTCATTTCTTCACTATTTTCTCTTTCCACGGAGAATGACAGCTCGGCTGAGTGCACTGTTGCCCGGGTGGGTTGCCCGTGTCTTCTGGTAGAAATTTCTTGTTCTTTCTGGCAGCATCCTGAGACTTTATTGCAGTAGGGTGCCCCATACCTGGGAGCCAGCAGGTGCTTACACTGGGGCAGAGCTTTGGGCATTTTCTCCACCCACCTGTCAACTCCTTACACGGAGGAGCCCAAGACCACGTTTCTACCAAATAGAGGAAGGTTCTGCACAAGTCACACAGAAAGAGGCCTTTTAACTCCATGTGAAGTGTGCCCTCAGAGGAGGGGCCTCGTAGCTGTGGCAAACAGAAGCAGGCCGACTTTATCAATGGCTACCTTTTTTTTTTCTCCTTTTTAAAAAAAAATATCTCCTATCTGAAGCGAGGGAGAACAAAGAAACCTATCATAAGTAGGAAGAATTCATTTGAACCAACTTGCATTTAAATTTCTGGCTGTTCTCTCTTCAGGTAGCTACATGATGCATTTTGTATGACCTTAAAATAATTTTTTATCTGGCTGATGTAAAGTGAAAAGGGCAGGTGGTTATTTACCAGCCTGCTATGAGTTTTGTGACCTGGACAAGTCATTCCTGACCTCCGAGTTTCCTCATTTGAAAGATGAGAGCTTTTAATTAGCCAGTCCCAATGGTCCCTTTGAGTTCTGACATTCTGTGTTTCCAAGCTGAATTAAAAGTGACAATATTTGGTTGAACTGTGACCACCCAACAAGTCTGAGAACGTCTGTGGGTTTTTTTTTAGTGCTTACTTCAAACATCCCAGGCAAAGGTTCTCAATTAAGTCCCACCCCTGGGTGGGCTGGCAAGCCGCCCCTCCCTTCCAGAAGAACATGGTGCAGCTTGCCAAGGCTCCTCATCGTCATTCACAGCCAGTCTAGACTCTTCTCCCAGACAGTATGTGCCCCCCTTGTATCCAAACCACTGTGAAGAAATGGGCAATTAATTTGATGAAAGCAGAGAGATCAGAACAACATCCCTGTCACAGCCACAGAAGCAAGATGAGAGTTGTCATTTAAAAAAAAAAAAAAACATTTCAAATGACTTCGAACTTGTGTGGTGTCCTGAAAAGCCACATCTTAGAAGCCAATGAATAAGTGATGTGAAACGCTCCTCCGCGGGCCTCGCTCTGGCGCTGTGCTCTCTCCCCCTGATGATGGATGGGCTCAGAGCATGTCACTGTACATGAGGCACATGGGCACATGATGGATTGCCCACTGGGCCCTCTTCTCTGGAGACGCTGCTGCCTCGTTAGCAATACATAAGGTTTTCTAAGTGGGATTTCCCACAGGGCCCAGGAGCCAAAGGCTGTGGCTCTGCTGTTGCTCCTGTCAAGACACACGAGACCATTGGTCCTATCTCTGTGCCCCCTCAGCCTCCTTGACTCTCTCCTCCTGCCAGGGATCACTTGGGTGGATCCTCTATCACCAAAGAGCCAGCCTCAACACTGGTGCCTAAAGATCCCATGCAAGGATCTCCCGGCTTCCAAGGATCCCATACACTGGGGAGGGACTCCTGTGTGTTTCTTTGTTAACTGAGCTCCAAGGGAAGAGGGTAAGAATTGACTCCAAACCTTAAGCTGGTTCCAGGAGGTTTAGTCTCCTTTTTTCTCACCTCTTTTTAGCTTGGATCCTAGGACAATTTACCCAAAGGCTTGAGTGCACTGCTGCTAGAGGTACCCAAGACTCAATAACACTGAATTACTCCGTGAGAAAGTTTGTTCTCTTTTCAAATTTGTTTCAGTCCTTCCGATCGCCTAGAGGGGAAATCTGGTTGGGTGCTAGAATGTCTTTTTGAGGCTTTCTTGCTTGCTTATCACCTTTCTTTGTAAAAAGAGAGTAGGTCTGAGGTTCCCAGCCCCAGGCAAGCAACAGTATCCAGCCAGAATGTAATGATTTTTAATTTTTTTTTTTTATCGAAGCTTTAAAAACTAATCCTCTTAAATATTTATGGTAAGTGATACAGGTCTCCATTTCAAAAGTGATATTTCCTATGTTGTATAATTGTTTTTTTCCTTAAGTTTAAAAAGTGAATTGATTTAGAAAAAAAAAAGGCTAAGTAAATAATTGTGCAGATGATGTGGGAAATCTGGTAAAATCCATGAAGGTGGCGAACCACTGATTGAAGTCTGGGAAGCAGTGCCCTCAGAAACGACTCCCTTTCTTCTTTCCAAGGGCACAAGGTCTCTCTCAGCCACCTCCTCCTTCCTCAACCTGATCTCGGCTCCTCCAGCCATATCTCCCCCACACTTCATGTTCATGTCCACTCTAAAAATAGTCAGCAAAGCCTCTTTGGAGGACTTTGACGATATGGCTCATGCATTTCTTTTCTGGATGTAGCTCCCAGGAAAAATCCATTTAAGTTGTAAAATGCTTCTAATGTTTCAAGAGAAAATAATAGAAGTTCTTTCCCGCCCCCCAAAAAATTTATGTACCATCCAAGCATATGGCTTGGATGGAAATAAAGCGCAAGCTATAAACTCATCGTTTTTAGTGGGTGAAGGGAGAGGTTGATCATGTAAAATTTGAAAGTTGCTAAAGAGGAGAGAGATAAGAAGAGCAGTTGTTTGTCTAAGGTCTACCTGGACAGGCAGCTCCTCTTCTCACTCTTAGCCTCTTCTTATTGCTTCAGCTGAACTCAAGACTCACAGACTTGAGTTTATTTCTGTGGTACCACTTTCTCTTACTCTTTCCTAAGATGTGGGTACATATCTGTGTCATGTAGTGCATGACTTTCAACTAACTACAGATTCTTCCACTTAATGTCTATATTAATCAGCTTCATGTTACTACAACAAAATGAGGCAACTATTTAGCTTATGGTTATAGAGTCTCATTGCTCTGTCTTCTGATGAGGGTGGCACATTGTGACAGGAATAGAATGAGCCACTTACATCAGGAGCCAGGAAGCAAAGCAAAACTGAGCGTCTAGGGACCCCTAACTCCATTCAGGAGCACACCCATAACCTAAGGGCCTCCCATAGGCTCCACCTACTGAAAGTACATGGCACCTCCCAATGCCACCACCCTGGGGACCAAGTCTTTAACATCATGTTTTGAGGACACCCATATAGCAATATCCCAGGGCATCCCAAATTTACCTTATCTCTAAGCACATTCCTCACCCCCCATGTACAAAAAAATGAATTCCCTGTTTACTTTCTGCAACACCACTGACCACGCAGCAACTCTATAAGGACACCACCGTCCCCGCCTCACTCTTCTTCACTACACATGTCAAGCTGACCATCCGTCCCACCTGCCCTGTCTATCCCGCTGCCCCCATCCAGCCCCTTCACTCCCACACCCCTGCTCTGGCTCTGCAAGAGCCCTCATCATTCGTCACTTGAATGCTGGTTGGTCTTTTCACTGTAGGTCCCTTTTACTCCATCCCAAGTAATCCTCCATGCAGATTGCAAAGCCATGTCTCACAAACCAGAACCCGGCCACACTCCCCTGCTGAACTGTCCTGCCCTGGTTCCCACTGTTTCCTTGAGCTGACTCCTCAAGGCCCTTGAATGTCATGCTGAAGCCTCTTTTGACCTGCTGTGCTCTGGCTCCACCACGGGGGCCACTGGGCTGGCCGCTCCATCAGGCCTCTGCAGGAGTCGCCCGGCTTCCCCAGAATCCCTTTTCTATGCTGCTTTCTCTGGAATTGACCAGTCCTGCCAAGAAAGCCAATTCCATGGACAAACTTGATCCCTTCCCAAGAAGGACACCACGGCCCATGCATTCCTCCCCTCTACCATTGATCCTAACCCAAGGCTTACAAGGTTCTCTCCACCAGCAAACATCTAGCGCCCAAAGTCCTAGGCCAGTGTCTAATACAGAATTGGTCCTCAAGACTCTTGTCAAGGAAGGAACGAGTGTATTAACTTGAAGATGAATTAAAAGCAGCAGAGGGCTTGAGACAGCTGTTTGGATCACCTGAAAAGTAAAGTCCTGGTTATCATTTTGCACAGCTCCATCCTCGGGTATTGACATGGAGGATGTGCACTAATCAAA